CTGGCCGTGCTGGTATAGAGGCTACTTGGAGCCTGGCTTGAAGAGGCGCTCGTGGTGGGGGTGGACTCATAATCGGAAAGGACGGGCTCTGACCCAAACTGCAATGCCCCAAACTGCAGGTTTAGCCCTGAGATATCTGCTGAGCCAGGCATCTCCACAGCCAGAGCAGGAATCTATAAAGAGAAGATAATGGTTTTATTACAACCTTACCGTAAGACTAACAACAACAACAACAACAAAACCCTCTGCTTCAAATTTGCAGACTATCCCCCTACAATCTCAATTCCCAAATCCCATACCCCTTTTGCCCTAAGATGACACCCATCTCAAAGTTCAGGTACCTTTGAAGTCAAGGAGGCCTTTTTCTTCTGTTGTTTCAATTTTTGCTGAGCCGGCTGAGGGCTAGAGGACTGGTTGTCTGAAGACCCGGGAGACATCTGTGGGGCCGAGGTGGATTTGCTTGGCAAAGGAGAAGAGGGGGGCGGAGGTGCGGCTGTGGAGGTAACCACTGCGGGTGGCTTCTCCTGAAGGAACACCTCCATCATGGTTGACGATGGGGTGAATGCCTGGCGTTTAGTAAAGGGGCTGTGTACTGTTGAATCATTTGGGTTCTTCAAATCTGCATGAAGAAACCCAGTATGTATGAGACCAAAGATGCTGATAAACCTCAATAAAATGCCATTTTCCTACTCTAGAGCCACAAAACGAGGCCCTCAAGATTCAGTACCTCATATAAACAGGCTCTCTTTTAGGGCTTACTATCATTTCTAAAAGTGATAATCACTGGATCATACCTGTTCTAAATACAGCCTAATCAAGTCAGCACTATTACCCTGCCTGTGTAAGACAGGAATCTAGGAACTGTCCATATTTAAAGTGTAGCATCCTAAAATGGCCAAGTCCATGAAACTTCTCAAAGGCAACGTGTTGTTTTCAAACACTAAAAACCAATCTAGGGAGAATCCAAAAACCCCCAGGTCAACTGAAGACTGCAACTATAAATGTGTCTAATTCTGAAAAAGAGATACTGAGCCTCAACTTTTCACTATTCCCTAGCGTTCTGAACTCAGCCTGACTAGGGGAAAATTGGTATGGGATACTAGCCAGCTGGCTGCCTTTCTCCTGACTTCAAGACATATTCTCCACCCTCGACTCCTGCCAGCTTCTGGCATTAATGCTCCAATGCTTAAAGAATTCAAGTCACTTTCCATCCTTCTCACCGTACTGCACCAGCGATGGGGACTGTGAGGCGGAGCCCATGTCCCAAGAAGAGGTGGTGGTGGTTCCAGACTGAGAATGCTGTGCCGCCAACTGGGCCAGGGCCTGAGCAGTCTTGAACTGCTCCAAGAACTGCGAGCCCGTGGTGCTGGCACCTTTGGCTTCGCCGACATCACCAAATCCTTTCCCTAACATGCTCACCTGTAGATCAACACAGAGATGAAAGAAATCTACAGCAAGGAAATGTGTTTGCTACTCAGAAAGACACTTCTCTACAGTGAGAGCCAGTAGAGATCAGACAAGTAAAGAAAGTCAGCAGACTGAGTACACAGTCTAGTCCTTTAGAGCACAATCTCTGGAGTCAGACTGCCTGGGTTCAAATCCTGGCTACATAATCATGGAAAACTTATTTGTAGGGGCGCCTGGGTGGCTCAGTTGGTTGGGCGACTGCCTTCGGCTCAGGTCATGATCCTGGAGTCCCGGGATCGAGCCCCGCGTCGGGCTCCCGGCTCAGCGGGGAGCCTGCTTCTCCCTCTCCCACACCCCCTACTTGTGTTCCCCCTCACGCTCTCTGTCAATTAAATAAATAAATAAAATCTTAGAAAAAAAAAAGAAAAGAAAACTTATTTGTAATTTCTCTGGACCTCATTTTCCTCACCTGAGAATAGAAATGAAAATAGTACCGCGTAAAATTGTAGGAGGATTAAACAAACAATGTACATAAAAAAGAATTTAATATGTGCATGGCACATAATAAGCACTCAAAACAGTGAGAACCAATAAAATTTATACCATCATTTCCTCCTCAGGGATAAAGATCTAATGGCTAGAGGGAATTTTTTACCTTTTAAGTTTTAAATCAACCAGTACGTGATTATTAAATTAATATGAAGGTTAATATAAAATTTCACTTTAGCCATTAATGTCCTTGCCCTCTCCACTAAGTAGCTGAAAAGTAACAAGAACTAACTGGAGCTTCACCTCAATGCTGCTCTTAAGTAGCACAGGAGCCAAAGAAGAGAAGCTAAGGGCCTATCAAAGCTTCTGCACTGGACAATCAAGTAACGAGTCAATATGATTTGGTTTTTTTTTTTTTTTT